CGGACAAAGTAGGTGTTTTGCACAAAGCAGTAGTTCTCGCTGTATTGTTCCCATGCTCCTGAAATATATTGAAAATTAGGAAAATCTATGCTTACCACTAAAATCTAAAAACTCAGGGTTTTTTTTTTGAATTACGAGAAGCAAGCTAGTCTTTTAAAACACCTACTTATTTGAGAGGACACCACAGGAAATATTTTTCCATTTTGAACAGTTTTCTTTTCGGTTAAAATCTGCCTAGAAGCGTTCAAGAAGTTTCTTTCGCAAGTTCATATTAGATGAGGATGGTATAGAGATCCTACAAATTAAGTCACAAATTCTGATGTTCCCACGTCTACTGGCCATCGTGCCTTTTACAAGTGATAGCTGTTGTGAATTTTAAATAGTTGCATTTGTTCTGCAAAATCATAATTTCCAACAGATCATGTAGCCTTTTTGAATTAATTGACTATTAAGGCGAGCTTTTACCGTATAGCAGCTGTATGAAACGCATGAAATCTGAAGCGCAATTTCTGCATGAACTGTCTAATCTTTCTGGGATATAACATCGACGTAGGTCAAAAATTATCCCTTTACAGCTATTCTGTTTTCTAAGTAAGACGTTCACCCCATATCAATCAGGAGTATTTTGTCCCTTTTCGCGGGACTAGGAGCTGTCCCAAAAGTTCACGTTTAGCACGTTCTTGATCTCTCTTCGTTCGAATCACAAAAAAATACCCTCGCCTTTCCACAGCATCCTCCCTCGAAATGCATAAACAACAACTCAGCCCCCCTCCCCCTCTTGCGATCACATATCGCAGCTCATCGAACATCATGTCATAGATTTCTGCTACTGATATCGATCGCGGCGATTTCTAGTCATGGCGAACAAGAGATCGCATGCAAATGTCGAGAACGCGATTAGCGCCGGCTTATCGATGATACTTATTGATAAAACAGGACACTGGACGATTTTGATGAACTGGTTTGGATTAAGTCTCATTAATTTATTGATTTCGTGTAAACGAAGAAATTGCTCACCTGTGAAC